AACACATATTATGTTTGCGATTAGGATTGTTAAGATGTCATCACCACAAATGAACAACGTCATCCTCACAGGGTGTGTGCTTGTCTATTCGACAATCTTCGTGGACTATACACAGGGAGTACACCAAACCTCGAAATGCCAAGTGAGGCTGTTATATTCACACACACACACACATATATATATATATATATATAATATATATATTCTAGTCGATCACTGTTGAACCCAACTGAAAATGACGTCTATCGTTCTCGGTACCTTGCCAAATGTAATTATTGACCATTTCCCCATTACGACATTATATGTCGTGTGATACGGCATACATTACGTCATTATACTTTGTGTGATACGTCATACATTACGTCATTATATTTCGTGTTATACGTCATACATTACGTCATTATACGTCGTGTGATACGTCGTACATTTCATCATTATACGGTTCGGCTCCCTTTCTTTCTCCTTGGCTAACGTAATACTCGTATATATTAACGTAGTGCCAAGAGTGGAAATTGAATATACAGCTTCCGTGTTTTTGTTGTAACTAGATTCGTAGCTATATGCTCGCTATCGGTCTATCTATGACATTCGGAGGTCTGTTCTTCAAGACGTGGCGTGTGTACTACATCTTTCTCAACAAACAGATGAAGAGTCGGGTAGGTTTTTCTCATTGAAGCACCGTGTGTATGCATTGAAATGCGTAATATATAATATACTTAAAATGTTTTGCATACATGTGAAGTAACAAACTCATCTCTGTATCTCTTGATAGATCATTAAAGACTGGGCACTGATGATCATGGTTGTCATTTTGGTGGTGTTGAATGTCATCATACTGTCCACGTGGGTAGTGTTTGACCCTTTGTACATCCACGTGTACAACCTTACACAAGAGGTATGCATGCTGGTAGAAAGTATGTATTGACGATTATTGTAACGACGAGTAATGTATTGATATGTATTAAAGATTGTATGTCGTTGCGCGTCGTTAGTGTAAAACCTCTCAAAATATAATTTGCTTTAATGGTAGGCATACACAGGCACACAGAAACACTCTTACTCACGTACGCACGCGCGCACGCGCTCACGCAAACACGCACGAACGCTCGCACGCGCACACCCACCCACACACGCGCCCATGTACGTGTATAGACTAACAGTATAGACGATCCAATAGAATGTCAAGTTTTATTAGGATTAATTTTTGTTACGTGCGTTTAGATTCGTTCCCGTGCCGCAATGTCATGCACGATTACATTACAAGCGCGATTTCTTCAATTCAGGCGTCAACAATAGAATGGGACATCATACTGCAGTACCAGATGTTCGTCTGTGAATCAAACCACCAGGCGGCGTTTATCGGCTCTCTGTACGTCATCCATGGCCTTGTGTTGGTCTTTGGTGCCTTCCTAGCATGGGAAACCAAAAAGGTAAACCGGAACATACGCTGTGAGTGATAGAAGCATTAGCTGTTTCAGTTAGCGGTACGGACGCGTCAATAATTTAACACACATACGCACGCACGCGCGCACACGCACCCCCTCCCCCCACAGAGATATAGAGAGACCTCAATTAAATGCATAAAGATGGCCACGGGGAGGACTATGGAACGATTACCTTTCACGTTATCCTTCATACATGCCTACTATCGTGTGACATGCAGAAAATGAACGCCAGATGTCTGTGATTGAGTGAACATCTGAGATATAGACTGGTGAGATAGATCGTTTCAATATCTTACAGGTGAAATTCAAGGAATTCAACGACTCACAGATGATCGGGGCATGCATCTACAACGCCGCTATAATCGCTCTTGTCTGTGTCGCCATGAACTATACTATAGATACCAAACCTTCAGCGCTATATGGCGTCACTTCCGGGTTTCTCGTGTTTGGTACTCTTATGACGGAAGGGATCATATTCATGCCTAAGGTGACAGCAAGTTTCAATACAATTTATTCGTTGCTGCGTGTATATATGATATATTTTACTTCTTGGTCAAATGTTAACTAATCAAAAATACAACTTTTACCTGGCTACAGTAATCGAACACTCATGAACATTCGCTTATTCTTTCTTCAATAATATATTGACGTTGACGACGAACTGTGTTAATTGGAAGATGAAGTTAAATTTTTATACATGTCTTTAAATTTCAAATAATCTTATATTCCGCACTTGTTTTCCCTAGTTGTTAACGTGCAATTTTTTTTTCAGTTTTCAGTTACTATCACACACTGTTTTAGGTAAATTTAAGAAACTTCGACTAATGTTTATGATTCAGATATATCAACACCTAAATTCAGTTGCTCCTACTCGGTCGGAGGCAGCTACCAGCAATTCCGCACTGAGTACTGATCGTCACAAAGCCTCTGCCCTTTTCTCGAGCAGGATAAACAACCACATCGCTGTCGCAAAGGAGGCGATGGAGGTGACGATGAGAAAATCTTATTAGTCCAATATCTAATCCGATATGCTCGTCCACGAGGCATGGGTAGATAGTTACACTGGGTTAAATTCTGAGGCTTCGGTGAATATAATTATAATATTGGCGAGAGCTAATAATACATGTGGTGATAGTACATCTAAGTGTTACTATTCAGGATCGATAATGTCACTGGTATGTAGATGTGTCTGTGCCAAGCATGTGTTCTACTATAAGAACATAGCAATACAAAAAATTATAGGATGTCTTGTATAATTGTAGGCGAGCGAGGTGATTCGGATACTTGTTGCTGCTACTGAAAGACTGCGGGTTCAAGCCCCTACAAATACAAGGCATGGCGGAGAGATAGACCTGGGTACGGTGGGTTGACCATTCTAATGGCACCGTATATATATATGTATGTCTATAATATTTAGTTTGTCAACGGCATTCGACCACAAGACGAGTATAGGTGTGGCGTCGCCGAAAGTTTCCTATATATATATATATATAGATAGATAGATAGATAGATTGCAGGCACACGCGTGGGTGAGTAATAGGGTTGTAAACATGCGCGTCTTAAATAGGTTAATAACGTTTAGAATGTTCTTGTTCTTGCTGTCGCTGTTGTTTCATATCCATATGGACGATGCTGTCAGAACAAGCTTATGTTTAGACTAAAATTAATTTTAGGACTATGATAAAAGTTTGGCCTACTATTAAATAGGATCCAGGGTACGTGTCCTTTATTATATGCTCCTGCTATAGCGATGCGATGCGAAGAATAGATACTACCATTAGAGTTTAACTAGAAAAGCACAGCTTGAACTTGTGCTAGGCTATCATTGCCACAACCGAAGTGACTCCACTTCGCAAGTTTGAAAGCTACAGAAGGCGGGGAAGTCGCCGAAAGTTTTTATGTAACTCATCACAAAACGAAAATGCCAGACAAAGTTTGAACATTGTCTTAGTAATAATCTTCACCGTCCTTGTGTTACTTGCCCGAGTATTTGATCTGCTAAAATTAGTGAAAATTTTCTTCTTCTTTTTTCGCTTGAATCATTACCTTCTCAAATACACATGTATGTTGTATGAACATATTTTACAAGTGCCAGAGCCAGTTTAGTGCCCGCATTTGCTTTTTATTATTTAATTCGCGTATTTATTATTTATTTAATTAGGGTATACCTTCACTACCTACCCTGCACTCGGCACTCAACGCCCCTTCTTTACCATGATTCATAGTGAACTATGTTAAATGTAGGATTCCCTGTCGAATACCGGCAGAACATATGAGCAGAACAAGTTGCAGAAGGCAAGTTGCAAGAACGAATATTTAACAATTCTCACTTTGTCGTGTAATTACGCATCTCTTATTATATTAATTACGACAGGTTAAGACAGGCTCCAACTGTTTCCAAACTCTCTATAGAATAAGTTAGGATTTGGAATTAAGCCAATCTCAAAAGAGTTTCTAACAGAGGGTTAGGATGAAACACCATAAATAAGTTGCGGATGATTCCTCACAATGGTGTTGCAAACCGCTACGAAAATTGTTTAAATTATTTGGAGGCTATCGAAAGCAATAGAAGGCTGATTAGAAGGTAAGCCGTTCATATTGTAGCGCATATTGCGTATTGTATAGGGCTCTAACCCCTTGACGTCTACACGTGTACGTGTTTATACGTTACGTTACGTTACGATACGTTGACGTATTACTGGTATTACCGTTAGTCTGTGGTATTACCAGGAGTGTATCAAAGGTTTGATACACTCCTGGTATTACGTTAGTATAGAGATCAGTGGTTTATGAGAACAACTGTACCCTACTGCCATCTGGTGACACGTTGAAGCAGAACAGCTTGGGAATTGTTACCGGATAGTTGTATAAATTGTCACATTAGTAAAATTAAGGATTTAAATTGTTTATTTGGCTTGTAGCTATCTAAACAGTTGATGTTGTAGGTATTGTTGTGTAAATAATGGAAAAATAAATATTTATTCCACACACATATATATATGTATATTATAATTATTATATTCTAATATATATATATATCATATTATTATATATATATATATATATATATCATATATCATCATGTATTTTTCTGCGAGCAAAAATACGTTTTGAGTAGTAGAACTGTATACAGTATACGTTAGAACTGGTAATTTTTCTTATACTGTGTACAGTTCTACTCAAAACAAACACATTTTTGATCGCAGAAAAATATTTAGCACGCAGTATTGTTGCTATTATGGAAAACAGGTAATTCCTGATTATTCTCTGCCTCATCATTAGTTGAGAGCATGAAGGTTGTGCCGTCATCTTCAGAATCAAGGCACGCTTACCAGCGTCAGAGCACCTATATATCTATCATCTCCTAATCATATATGATATACGTGCTCTGCTAGTGCGTAAAACATTTACCGTACTATAGCGCCATCTGACGATTCTTTTTGAAACTTGTGTACAGAGTTGCTGAGATGTTCGTTGTATATTGAAATAAACACGTGTCGTCCGTCATGTATTAAGCTTTTAAAGTTTTTCAGCTATCATCTACTTTTGACCTTT